AGGTTAAAAATCCAAGGAAAATGTAAGCTTTCACTCTGAAGCCACTTGGAAATAAGCTTACATGAGAAAAAGATGAGAAATTAACCGATCAAGATTTTAACTACTCTGTTTCACTCAATCCATTTCAAACCATTGACAGATAATATATCAACAAATAAATATGAAAAAACATGCCCATGACTCAGTTTCAACTTGTCGAAAGGACATGGCCAAATTAAGATAACAATAACAATGATATGAACACAAATGTTTCGTACTGGAAAATGGAAAATAAAATAAGAAAATTCCAAAAGGTAGGTTAATTGAAGAAAACTCGAAACTTTCGAAATGATATTGGTAATTCGAGAAACCAATAAACCTTCCAATATTAACAATAAGTTCGAAGAAATTAGTTAGCAGACATCCTTTTTATCCGTAGATTTTCACTATGCTTTATCGTATCTTCTTTAGCCATAACCTTTGTGTAGAGTTTAAATCACCTAATAGACAATTAACTAACACAAAGTAAGTTAACTATTTGATAGACAATGGAATTAATCAATGTGAATTGAAAGTAAAACTCCCTTATCAAAGCTTCAATGATTTGGCACCAAAATGGATCGATTGAAGCTCAGATTAAGAGCCGAAAACCACGCAGCAACACCACAAAAATTGGAGTAAGATTACCTACTCAAATGGACCATAAAGGATACCCAAAATGGGCAAAGTAACTGCACAGAAACAGCACCAAAATGGACAAAAACAAGGGCAGCATCAGAAGCACGAAGCAGCACATAGAAGATCACAATCTGACGTATAAGTCGTCGGTAATGAACCGGCAAAGAATGAACAGAGACAATAGCCGGCAAGAAGATAAAGGCCAGAAATCACGAAGAGGAACAGCCAAGAAGAGGCGTAGCCAAAGTCCAAGTGATGTCATCCATGATACGAGAGCAAGTCCAGGTAAGGATCAATTGAGGGAGGACCGATGACAAGTGTTGCGTTTTTTGTATCGCAAGTGTACGATATCGTAGGAAAAAGTAATATAGTGGACTTTTGGGTCTGGACTATCTTTCCGACGAGGACTATACTTTAATCTTAATCTACTTTTCCTAACTTCTATTCGATAAAAGACAAACAAATAAAGGAT